TTAGAATGAAGCTTCCGATACAAAGTGAGTTTAACAGTCCAGCTGTGGCTTGATATATTCATAGGTGTTCATTCCTATATATATATTTTTTTCTCCCCCAGGGATTTGTCATTTCTAGATTTAAAACTTCCTTTATAACATGGTTCCTTCAAGGTATAAGCTTCCGATATGTAAAATGTTTGTAATTTTGTTAATTCTGCCATTCATTAGCTCAATAATTTCTTTCACTAAAAGCCTGTATACTATGAACTTCAAAGAAGACTATTCTGTATTTCTTTGGTTTATGAAGTTTCCTCTTTGTGAATCTTATATTAATAAAACAACTTTACAACATTCATTTAACATGGTTCCTCATCTGTATGAACTTTTTTTAAAAAAAGATGATTTGCTGCTGAAGATTTTCAGAGGAGTTAAATTCATAGTTTTCCTGTGTATTTTCTACTATCTTTTTTCATGTAAAGAACAGCTTTCTGTGGATGCCTTTCCATATGCAGTGTATTCACAAAGTTTCTATTCAGTATGAGTTTTCTGGAGGATAACAAGATGACTCCACTTATAGAGTTTCTCTTTATATATGCTTTTGTTGGTATCTCTTGTGAATTCACTTTTCAGAGTTTCATACTATCATCAATGTTTGTCATTTATATGAATTCTCTGATGCATAATCAGCTGTGACTTCCAACAAAAGGCTTTCCCACATTCAGTGCACTTACAGGGCTTCTCTCCTGTATGTGTCCTCTGATGTGCACTGAGAATTGATTTTTGAGAGAATGTTTTCCCACATTCATTGCACCCATAGGGTTTCTCTCCTGAATGAGTTCTCTGATGCACAGTGAGCTGAGAATTCCTAATGAAGGCTTTTCCACATTCATTGCATTCATATGGTTTCTCTCTTGTGTGCATTCTCTGGTGTACCAGAAGCCGTAATTTCCCACTGAAGGACTTCTCACACTGACTGCATTTATAAGGGTTCACCACTGCATGAGTTCGCTCATGTACAATGAGTAGTGACTTCCAAATGAAGGCTTTCCCACATTCATTACATTCATATGGTTTCTCACCTGAATGAGTTCTCATGTGTATAATGAGGTATGACTTGCTGCTAAAAGCTTTCCCACATTCACTGCACCCGTAAGGCTTTTCCCCTGCATGAGTTCGTTGATGTGAAATCAGCTGGTCTTTCCTATTAAAGGCTTTCCCACATTCACTGCATTCATAGGGATTTTCTCCTGTGTGAATTCTCTGATGCACAATGAGTTGTGAATTGAAACTAAAGGATTTCCCGCATTCACTGCACTCATGTGGTTTCTCTCCTGTATGAGTTCGCATATGTATAATAAGGTATGACTTGCTCCTGAAGGCTTTCCCACACTCACTGCATCCATATGGTTTTACTCCTGTGTGACTTCTCTGATGTACAATGAGCTGGGACTTCAAACTAAAGTTTTTTTCACACTGACTGCATCCATAGGGTTTTACTCCAGTGTGCACTCCTTGATGTACAATGAGCTGTGACTTGAACGTAAAGGCTTTTGCACATTCATTACAACTGTAGGGTTTTTCTCCTGTATGAGTTCTCTGATGTACAATCAGGTTTGACTTTGTATTAAAGGCTTTCTGACACTCACTACATTCAAATGGTTTCTCCCCTGTATGAGTTCTCTGGTGTATAATAAGCTGTGATTTTAAACCAAAAGCTTTTCCACATTCAATGCATTCATAAGGCTTCTCCCCTGCATGAGTTCTCTGGTGTGAAATAAGCTGGTATTTCCGACTGAAGACTTTCCCACATTCATGGCATTCATAGGGGTTCTCTCCTGTATGAATCCTTTGATGTGTAATGAGCTGTGACTTAAAACTAAAGGTTTTTCCACAATCATTGCATTCATGGAGTTTTTCTCCTGTGTGAGTTCTTAGATGTGTAATAAGGTATGACTTGCTCCTGAAGGCTTTGCCACATTCATTGCATACATAAGGTTTCATTCCTGTGTGACTTCTCTGATGTACAATGAGCTGTGATTTCAAACTGAATGCCTTCCCACACTGAATACACCCATAGGGCTTTACTCCTGTGTGAATCCCCTGATGTACAATGAGCTGTGAACTGAATGTAAAGGCTTTTCCACAATCACTACAAACATAGGGTTTCTCCCCTGTATGCATTCTCTGATGTACCATAAGGTTTGACTTTGTATTAAAGGCTTTCTGACATTCGCTGCATTCATATGGTTTCTCTCCTGTATGAATTCTTTCATGTATAATGAGCTGTGATTTTAAACCAAAAGCTTTTCCACATTCATTACACACATACGGTTTCTGTCCTGAATGAGTTTTCTGGTGTGAAACAAGCTGGTCTTTCCTACTGAAGACTTTACCACATTCATAGCACTTATAGGGATTCTCACCTGTGTGAATTCTCCGATGTATAACAAGTTCTGAATTGAAACTGAATTTTTTTCCACATTCACTGCATTCATGTAGTTTCTCTCCTGTATGAATTCTCTGATGTACAAAGAGGTATGATTTACTACTGAAGTCTTTCCCACATTCATTGCACCCATAGGGTTTCTCTTCTGCATGAGTTCTCTGATGCACTACAAGGTATGACTTGCTGCTGAAGGCTTTCTCACAATAGCTGCATCCAAAGAGTTTTTCTCCCATATACATTTGCTGTAACGTAAGTTGTGATTTCTTATTGACAGTTTTTCCAGATTGATTACTTTCACAGTATTTTATTCCAATAATAGTTTGCTCATGTTTAGAATGGAGGAATGATTCCCCATGTACCTGAATCCCGTTAGGATTCTTTCGAGCATAATTACTAGTGAAATCTATATATTTCAAATTCTTTCCATGTGTGCCACACGTATGAGGTTTTTGTCTCGAAAGATAACTTGTACTAAGAAGACATAGTTTTCCAAATGCAGTGCATTCAAAGCTTTTGGCCATACTTCTCAGCTTGCCTTGATTTTCCTGATGCCATTCCATAAGATCATCAATTTTCCAGACTTTGTCTAGAAATGAGAACAATTAGTCATATGTTATAAATAATAACATGATTGTGTTATAGTAGAAAGTTGCCTATGAAATGCCATATCATGAGGTTTTTTAGTTTCAGGTATCAGATCTGAATATAGGTAAATTCTCAGGTGTAAAAACACTCAGACTACTAGGCACTGAAACAAATAAACACCAAACTGAAGATAGGAAGTTTAAAAGTTTTGCAAATTGGATAAAAAAGGCAAAATAGGCACAAAGAACAATGAACATAATATAAAGATGTCATAAGGGATCTATGAACATTAGATTTATTCAAAAAATAATTATTAAATACATACTATGTGCCAAACACTGTGCTAACTTCTAGAGAAATGGCAGATTTCTATAGAACACTGCAGATTACTTCCCAGTCCTCCTGGGAATAACATCTCAATACCTAGACATAGATAAAAATAAACTGAAGGAACATCATTCCTTAACAGGACAAGAAGCAGTTCTTAAAACCATTCAGATAAATCAAAACAAAAACAAAAACAAGCTTCCTACAATGTAACAAAAATTAGAATGGCATTAGACTTCTCATTAGGAAAACCAGAGGAAAGAAAAAAGAGCAATGAGGAACAAAGTCAAAACACTTACAGATGCACAAGTCTCAATGTTTATATCACACATGTACCTTTTCCCAGGAAGCTCTCTTGAGTTGCTCCAAGAAAAGAAATGACAGGGGATACAGAAAATGAAATTTAAAAAGAGGTCCTGGGATAAAAATTACACAGCAGGCCTTAAGAAAAACTAGGCTACTCTGAAGCAAGCCAGAAAAACTTAGCAGTCAATATCACCAAGAAGATAAAAGGAATACAATTAATAATTTGGCTGAGATTACCAGCCAAAAATACTCAGACCCTGAAAGGAACATCTAGAGTTAAATATATGATGAAAACATTAATGATAACAAAATTAAACAAGCAAAAAATTTACAGAAAAAATACAAATTTATAAACAAAAATTAATCGTTGTATACTTGCATGATTTACCTGCAAACAGAAATTACAGTCAGAACCAACATATAAACTGAAAACAAATCTAACCAAAAATATCAAATTAATATATCAGAATGATGGAGGCATGGGAACATGGCAAGAGACATGCCTACATTAGGAGTATGTATATGGTGGGAAGGTTATGGAGGGAAGAGAGTGAAGGAAGTAAATCACCTTTCTATACCAAGTAGTCATTAAGGGAGAAAGCCAAGGTGTAGCAGAATAAGCTGGTTATTTAGAAATATGGAGGCAACTGCCACAAGAGTTAAAAAGAGACTGATGGTGTTGTCTTTAGCAGGCATTGGAAAGAGAGTGCACAGGATAGTCAAAAGCTGTCTGAACACAAAAATGCAAAGTGAAAGATACAAAATAGATAGGAAATAAGACAAAGGATGAAGTTCTTTGTCACAACAGGAAATATCTGGAGGTTGAGTAGAAAACAGATGCCCCAAAATAACATACTAACCAGGTTAATGAAAGAAAAGGATATTAAAAGAAAGCAGCAGCAAGTCAGGCTCAGAGACAGCAGATCACAGGATCTTAACATCTCACTCCAGGTTTACTGTGAAAAACTGCAGGTAGTTTTCCTATTAAATCTGATCCATCAGCCGGGCACGGTGACTCAAGCCTGTAATCCCAGCACTTTGGGAGGCCAAGGCGGGCGAATCACAAGGTCAGGAATTCGAGACCAGTCTGGCCAAGATAATGAAATTCCATCTCTACTAAACAATGCAAAAAAATTAGCTGGGTGTGGTGGTGTGCACCTATAATCCCAGCTACTCGGGAGGCTGAGGCAGGGGAATCACGTGAACCCAGGAGGCAGAGGTTGCAGTGAGCTGAGATCACGCCATTACACTCCAGCCCAGGCAAGAGTTTAAGACTCCGTCTCAAAAAAAGAAAAAAGAAAAAAAAATCTGATCCATCTTATTCATTTTATATGCAACCATCAAATTATATTTCCCCAAATTTTAATTCCCCACTAGGGCAGTATCTTTCATTAATGCACTGACAGATACAAATGAGCACTTTCAGCCTTCACAATGGCTTGACAGGGAGTGATACTACCAAACGGTCCTATTGTAAAAACTGTCCCCAACAAATGATAATAGGCCAGTGAGTAATTACTCTGTGACCTAGAATCAGATTTGCTCCTGTGTTTGTCTGTCACTGTTTTTTTTTCTGTAGACTTGCAATCCTTGTATAGGATTTGACAGTAAGGATGGATACTGAGACCGCCCTTACTATCGAATCCTATACTTTATCCTTCCCTTCCTTCTGTTGCTGGTACCACACCCATCCTTCTCTTTGCTTAGTTCCTGTATCTCTGCATTCATCATTTGAAATCTAATGTATCTTCTCCAGAGCATGCTCTTTGTTAACAATAATGGCAAAAATAAGACTATGCTTGACACCTCAAGGTAGAGTTCAAAGAATTCAAAAAATCAGGGAATACCAAACCCAGTAACTAAAAGACAGGCTTCTTTTGGAGAAAGTCTTGCTCTGTCGCCAGGCTGGAGTGCAGTGGCGCAATCTCGGCTCACTGCAACCTCTGCCTCCTGGGTTCAAGCGATTCTTCCGCCTCAGCCTCCCAAGTAGCTGGGACCACAGGCACATGCCACTACACCCGGCTAATTTTTGTATTTTTAGTAGAGATGGGGTTTCACCATGTTGGCCAAGATGGTCTCGATCTCTTGACCTTGTGATCCGCCCACCTCGGCCTCCAAAGTGCTGGGATTACAGGCGTGAGCCACCGTGCCTGGTGGCTTTTTTATTTTTCAAGTTATTTATTTATTTTACCTTTTTTTAAAATTGCATTTTAGGTTTTGGCGTACATGTGAAGAACATGCAAGATTGTTGCATAGGTACACACATGGCAGCGTGATTTTCTGCCTTCCTCCCCTTCACCTATATCTGGCATTTCTCCCCATGAGAGATGGCTTTTTTTTTTTTTTTAAGAGAAGGGGTCCCTCTCTGTCACCCAGATTCGAGTGCAGGGGTGCAGTCATCGCTCAATGTATCCTCAACCTCCTAGACTCAAGTGATCCTCCCACCTCAGCATCCCAAGTAGCTGGGACTACTGGCAAAAGCCATCATGCCCAGCTAATTTTAAAAAATTTTTGGTAGAGACGGGGTCTCTCTATGTTGCCAAAGCTGGTCTTAAGCTCCTGGCCTCAAGTGATCCTCCCACGTTGGCCTCCCAAAGTGCTGGGATCACAGATATGAGCCACTGCACCTGGCCCAGGAATTCTTAAGCTTGAATAGTATTTAAAGATGATTCAAGACCATATTAAATATGATTCCTGGCTGTGGTCCAAAGGAAATCACTGGGAACCCAAATATACACCAAGAGAACTGAGATTCTGAAGCTACAGAAAAGCAGAATGGAAGCTGTTAAGGTTTGAATGTGTCCCCTCTAAAACTCATGGGGAAACTTAATCCCCATTTTGGTGGCATTCAGAGGAGGCGATTAAGTCATGCTCTCAACTTGGCAACACAAATGGACTCAGACAGTAGCAGTCTCCCCAGTGACCATATTGAGTTTAGTCACAGATGATAATGGAAAAGGATTAGGCCTGGAGAAACAAAGCTTCACCAGGTAGCTTATTTCACTGCCACGGAAAGAAATCCTGACAAAATCAGTAGCTACCATGTGGTGTTCACTGCTGCTGTTCTTCTGGAACTGGGGGACCCAATGCTTGTCTTATCCCTCTACATGTGGATGGCTAGATGTGTTTAATTTATTTTTAATTATAGGTCTACAGGCTATAAAGAACTACTCCCAGGTCTGAATGAGAACAGGATCCTATACTTGCATTAATGTAGCACAAGAATAAACATATTGGTTGCAGCAAATATTTGAAGACTGATGGCTGGGAAGATGGGTGTGACGGGTGCTGCCTGGCCACGGAAAGTGAAGGCAGACAGTGCTGCTTATCCGGTGGTTCTTCTGCCCTGTTCCTGGCTGGCAGTAACCTGATTTTTTTCTACCCCCATCCTTAAGGTGATGTGCTTCAGTCAGGGAAGTGGGGACCCATTTCCATCCCCAGCCCCGCTTCTAAAAGTAAAGCATAATTTATCTGAGCCAGCAGAGATAGTCCCATTTCCTTTTCCAGAGCCTTCCTCAGACGGGCATGTGACAAAAATTTAGCCTGTTGAACATGATCAGTCTGCTTGGGACTTCCTTGGATGAGTTTCCCTGTTTGACAGAGTCGTATGTGAAGAAACAGCCCTTTTTATTTCCTTGGCCACTGGTATATCCACAGGCATCTAGAAAGATGAAATGCAGTAGCCATCTGAGGACCATTAGGGTAGAGAGCCTAACGAAAATGCCAACATACCTATATGGGCCCTTGGTGATTGAGTGAGTCAATCCCTTCGTTGATACTGGAGCTGCCCCACTTCAGGACTTCTTGTGATGTGTAGTAATAAATCACTTCTGCTTCAATTAGTTGGTCTGAGATTGACCAACAACTGCAGCTGAAGCAATCCAAGTAATACAAGGACTAACTGCCGATTTACGCTGTCATGCTAGTAATAGAATGGGGGAACATGTCTGACAGTAACACTGAAGATGAATTTGTATAAAAAGAGTAAAATGAATAAAGTTAGCTAAGTACAACAATCCAGACATGATAATACTGGCCTTATTTTGAGTGGGAATTGAGAAGATGAGGGCTTTAAAAGGCCTCTTTTTAAAGGACCAAAATGCTAAGACTGTACCAAAACTAGTAAGGGAGCCTGGCACAGAAAGGAAATTCAAGCTGACTTTCCCCAGTGTTAGGAAAAAGAAAAACCTTAAAATCAAAAGAACAGTAGGATAAACAAAGAGAAGAAGGATGAAAAGAAGGTGGTAAGAAGGTGGCTACGGAGCAGTGGAAGAGATGATTCTAGTTTCTGAAAATGAGGCCAGGGAGTGGCACAAGGCAGATGCCAGTGAATCAATCAAAACCAGGACCAAAGGGCAGATAAAAGATCAATGTGGCTATCAATTACCAGTAGAGGAAAAAAAGAATTTACATTTTCAGAATGGAAGTTGTTAAGGTTTGAATACGTCCCCTCTAAAACTCATGTTGAAACTTAATCCCCATTGCGGTGGCGTTAAGAGGAGGCAATCAAGTCATGTCCTCATGAATGGATTAGCGGCTTCTAAAAGGGCTTGAGGGAACTATCTTAGGCCTTTTTTGCCCCTCTTTCTGTTCCACAGTGTTCCTCACCTCCAGAGGATGCAGCGACAAGGCATCATCTTGGAGAACAGACCAGGCCCTCACCAGACACCAAACCTGCTAGCACCTTGGCTTTGGACTTCCCAGCCTCCAAAACTGTGAGAAATAAATTTCTGGGCTTTATTACATCAGTCTGTAGTATTTTATTATAGCAACGCAAATGGACTCAGAAGTCTTTTTGTTTTGAAATGACATCTCACTGTCCCCTAGGCCGGAGTGTAGTGGCACAATAGTTCACCGCAGCATCAAACTCCTGGGCTCAAGCAATCCTCCTGCCTCAGCTGCCCAAGGAGCTGGGACTACAGGTGCACACCACCACACTCGGCTAATATATGTCTTAAAAGTTACACTATATGAAGGAAATGAAGAATAAAGACCTCTTGGATTCAAAAAAGCAAGAGAAGCCCAGTAGAACATGAAGGGAAAAAGTGCTTGGTCACGCAGCACAAGAGCAGGATCAATTCGGGTCACTACAGGGTCATTGACACTAACAAATGACAAAGGAATGTGCTCAGAAGGTCCAGAGTGATAATGTTAAAGCCATTAGCATAGAGAAGCACAAAAGGGGTAGCATCTACTAACAGGTTTCAGAAAGAAGGAAGATGAGACTGTGGTTGTTGACTTTATGTGTAAGAAATTTAAACGTAGGGCCGGGCGCAGTGGCTCACACCTGTAATCCCAGCACTTTGGGTGGCACAGGCGGGCAGATCATGAGGTTAAGAAATCGAGACCATCCTGGCCAACATGGTGAAACCCATCTCTAGTAAAAATACAAAAATTTGCTGGGTGTGGTGGCATGCACCTGTAGTCCCAGCTACTTGGGACACTGAGGCAGGAGAGCTGATTGCATCCGGGAGGCGGAGGTTGCAGTGAGCCAAGATCGCACCATTGCACTCCAGCCTGGCTCCAGGAAACAAAGAAAAACTCTGTCTCAAAAAAAAAAAAAAAGACAAAAGAAATTTAAATGTAATTTTCAAAATACGGAAAGAAAAGAGAAGGGGCATAAAAGTCACATCAAGTGAGGGAAAGAGGAAAGGCTTGCTAAAATGCGTAATGAAATGAGTCTATCACCAAGACAGAGTAAGGAGGAAAATAAAGATGCCAACAATAAGATTAAAAGTACATGGTGCCAGGCACCACATGGTGGCTCCCGCCTGAAATCCCAGCACTTTGGGAGGCTGAAGCAGGTGGATCACAAGGTCAGGAGCCCAAGACCAGCCTGACTCACATGGTGAAGTGAGTCACCTGTCTCTACTAAAAATACAAAAATTAGCTGGGCATGGTGGCATGCGCCTGTAGTCCCAGCTACTCGGGAGGCTGAGGCAGAAGAATTGCTTGAACCTGGAAGACAGAGGTTGCAGTGAGCAGAGATCAAACCACTGTACTCCAGCCTGGGTGACAGTGTGAGACTCTGTCTAAAAAAAAAACATAAAAAAAGAGTACATGGTAAGGCCGGGCATGGTGGCTGACGCCTGTAATCCCAGCTTTGGGAGGCTGAGGCAGGCAGATCACCTGAGGTCAGGAGTTTGAGACTAGCCTGCCCAACATGGCAAAACCCCGTCTCTACTAAAAATACAAAAATTAGCTGAATGTGGTAGCACACAACTGTTCCCAGCTACTCAGGAGGCTGACACAGAACTGCTTGAACCCAGGAGGCAGAGGTTGCAGTAAGCTAAGATTGCACCACTGCACTCCAGCCTGGGCAACAGGGCAAGATTCTGTTTCAAAATTAAAAAAAAAAAAAAATAAGAGTGCATGCGTATACGTGAGGGAAAGAACAAACGAGGAGCACATCACATTAGAATTCATGCTAATTCTGAATAAAGAGGAAAATATTTGTCTCCATCACTCACTTGGACAGCACTGATTTGGAATTGGGGCTGGTACCATACACAGCTCTTCTCCTTGTTCCAGCTTGAAGATGATGTCAGGTTTGGTGTGTTGATACCCTATAAATAGAAAATCACAGACAACCTGGAACAAATAGCTTGGCATTCCGGGATTCTGAAGAATGGGGAAGATTTGGTTTGGAGATAGCATGATGAAGCTGCCTTTTTGCAATTTAGCAAAGTAAAGACCATTCAACTTGCATACTGCCCAATGGGGAACTAAGAAAATCTGGCCTTAAAATCTAAGTCCAAAATCACTAAGTATTTTACAGAAGGCCTCCAGTTTTCAGCAACCAAGGAGAAAAGCCTGGAGATTGAGCACACTCCTGCTCAGGGAGGCAGCACTTACCTAGGGATACCAGGTTGCTATAGTTCTCCAACATCACACTCCTGTACAGGCACTTCTGAGCTGGGTCTAGCAGCTGCCACTCCTCCCAGGTAAAATCCACAAACACATCCATGAATGACAATGGTCCCTGAAATACAATATTGTCATCCAATCTCAAGTTATTTTACTAGGTTTGTGGAAAAATAGCTGCTTAGGATGTGCATTATTTACATTAAACTTTGTGAGAAAACAAAAATTGTATTGAAAACATCCATCAATGTGCATTAAATCAGTCATCTTTCATTCAACATTTGACAACTAGGATAACCTCTTTTTAAAGTTTTCATCTATCCTAGAAACCATCTATACAAGGGTTCTCAGACATTGGACCTTCAGTACTAAAGGCAGGACAGTCAGGCAAACAAGTTCAACTGATCACTCTATATCTGCAATACAGTTACTGACCTCTTGGTGCCAGGAATATAAAAATGAATGAAATAAGAGTCCTGCCCCCAAGAAGTATTCAGCACTGCAGATGGAAGGAAAGCTACATATGCAAATGCAACTGGAAGTCAAAGAAGCTAGGATAAAAGAACACAGATTACAATGTGGACACAAAGGAAGAAGTAAGCAATGCTGTTTGACAGTGTCAGGTGGATTCTGTGCAAGGGTATACAGGTACCCAGAAGAGAAGACACATTAAAACTTTGTGGACTAAAAAGGTAACTGCTCTAAGTAGCAGCTGCTCTGTGGGACAAAAGACCTAATCATGAACATACACAGGTGGTAAATGAGCATATAAAGCATGTTTAATACAATATGTCATTAAGGAATTGCAAATCCAGACAAAAATAAGACACCACTACACACCTATTAGAATAGATAAAATCCAAAAAACTGACCACCAAATGCTGGAGAGAATGTGGAGCAATAGAAACTCTTATTCACTGCTGGTGGGAATGAAAAGTCACTTCAGAAGACAGTTTGGCAGCTTCTTATAAATCTAAACAGTCTTACCATATAATCCAGCAACCACGCCCTAGGTACTGAAAACTTATGTCAAAGCAAGAACAAGAAGACACACATGACAAATATCAGATATGAAAAGAAGTTATCATTACTGAGCTCACAAATATGAAAAGACTACTCTATGCTCTCAAATTTGATAAGTTAGATGAAAAGGGTGCATTCCTTGGAAGACATAAATTACCAAACTCATTCAAGAACAGATAAACTTAACTGATAATTCTACATCTATTAAAGAAATATTGGGAGGCCAAGGCAGGTGGATCATGAGGTCAAGAGATTGAGACCACCCTGGTTAACATGGTCAAACCCTGTCTCTACTAAAAATACAAAAATTAGCTGGGTGTGGTGGCACATGCCTGTAGTCCTAGCTACTTGGGAGGCTGAGGCAGGGGAATAGCTTGAAACCAGGAGGCGGAGTTTGCAGTGAGCCAAGATTGTGCCACTGCACTCCAGCCTGGTGACAGAGCAAGACTCCGTCTCAAAAAAAAAAAAAAAGAAGACATAAAATTTGTAGTTAACAGCATACAGATTGGAAATAAATAAATAAAATTGTCCTTTATTATAGAGAGAGTAAGAAGGAAACTGAGGATGCCAACGAAAAGATTAACATGACACAATTGTTTATGAAGAAAATACCAAGAAATCTAAGAAAGTTCCTAGAATTAACTAGTGAATGTAGCAAGGTCACAGGATACAGGCTCAATACATAAAAGTTGGCTATATGCCTATACAACAGCAATAAGTCATGTGATTTTGAAATTAATTGGCTGGGTGCCATGGCTCACACCTGTAATCCCAGCACTTTAAGAGGCTGAGGTAGGTGGACCACTTGAGATCAGGAGTTTGAAACGAGCCTGGCAAACATGGTGAAACCCCTTCTCTACTAAAAATACAAAAATTAGCCGGGTGTGGTGGTACACACCCATAGTCCCAGCTACTCGGGAGGCTGAGGCAGGAGAATTGCTTGACTCAGGAAGCGGAGGCTGCAGTGAGCCAAGATTGTGCCACTGCACTCCAGCCTGGGTGACAGAGCAAGACTCCATCTA